GTACCAGTTTTCTGTATTCGTTACCCCCACTTGGGTGAACATATTCTCGAAATTCTTCCACTATGTCAATCCAATGTTCATTTGTTACACGGAAAAAAAAATCCCGCTTAGCCAGTTACCCAGTTAACTTCGGTGGCCGCTAACAAAATAGAGTTATTGTTGGGATGGAGAGGAGCCCAGTGAATAGCCAGTCAATAAACACGAGACATAGGTCACATTTAATATTCGTATGCTACGTCGACATTGTCTATGCATGATCCCGATCTTAATGGGGCCATCGCCCGCTATTAAACACGTCACCTGCGTGTGGCCTACGCACAGCGTTGCGCCATTGCAACACACAGGAGTGAGGGTGGTGGTGTTGAAGGATGAGACACGCGGCTGGGGTCGAAGGTGGTGGTTGGTGGTGGTGGTGGTAGTTGGTTGGTGGTGGTGGGGGAGGTGATGGTAGCGGCGGCGGCGGCGGCGGTGTTGGTGTTGGTGGTGGCACAGCGTGGGATCTCTTGAGAAACAAGGTGCTAACAAGCTCCCGTAACGTCCCGCTGACAGCCCCTGACAGATTAGGACACGGGGAGGGCGATGGGCGGGTGGGTGGCCCTCGGTCTTGATTCATCCGTGCACGCGGCCTCTCTCCCTCCGCTTGCCAGACCGTAATGCCCTTCCCTGGGGCACAAGTTTGATACACGAGCGCAATTAAACTCGATGTGACTATCATGATGATAATGTTGCAGAAGGACTCGAGATGATGATGATGTAGGTGATTTCTGTAGCAAGCCTGTTGCTGACAATGGTGTAGATAGGCCTGGTAAATGATTGATGATGATGGGTGTGGTCATGATGAACGTGCTGTTGCTGCTGCTGATGATGATGGTGAATGTGCTGTTGCTACTGATGATGATGATGAACGTGCTGTTGCTGCTGATGATGAATGATGATGAACGTGCTTTTGCTGATGATGAATGTGTTGTTGCTGTTGTTTCTGATGATGAATGATGACGATCGTGCTTTTGCTGCTGATAATGATGCATGTGCTGTTGCTGTTGCTACTGATGATGATGATGAACGTGCTGCTGATGATGGGTGTGGTCATGATGAATGTGTTGCTGCTGCTGCTGATGCTGTGGTTGCGGTGACGGTGTAGTGACGGTGTTGGTTACGGTCGTGGTGGTAGCAATTGGTTAATGATGATGGGTGTTGTAGTGGTTGGTGGTAGAGGTAGTGATGATGATCGTTGTGATACATAAGTGGTGATCATGGTGCTGCTGATGATGACAATGATGGCCTGAATCATGAGCGGCTATGGACGTGGCAAACGAAAACATAATTCACGATCCGACGGTGGGAGTGCCGGGATTCTCTCTTCCACGACCACGATGGATCACGCCGAACCGCGCTCGAACCGAGCACGGCAGATGCGCGTGCACGTTTCATGAATGGAAGATCAAACAATCGGCCAACTGCGACTGTGGAGAAGTCCAACCCATCCAAGAACATCACCGGTGAATGCTCCATCCACGCACATCGTGGCGGTATCGCTGAAATCCACACAGCGTCAACTACATCGTTGGACTGGATGAGGAACCTTTGCATTCATTTACGACGATCATTAAGAAGTCAGAGAAAAACAAACCTGTTTCTTTTCACAACGCCACACGACAAAAGAAGAATGGTGGCGTTGATGGAGCGGGGAGCGGTGGTGTCGCGGTTAGCGTACTGAGCTACGAACACGGCGACGCGAGTTCAAATCTCGCCTCGTGGCTCACAAAGGTGACGATTATTTGAATCGGTCCTGGGCCTCCCATAAGTCGGCTGTGATGCGTTTGCTTGCCGAATTAAAGAAGTGGTGCCTGGAGAAAAGGCAGCTTTAGCCAAACGGGGAATCGCTTACACCACGTTCAGGTCACTTAAATCGATTAGGAAAAGAATAGATTAATGGTTCACATTTTGTTTTTTTACGATCATCGGTCAACATTTGAATCCGATGCCGAACCTTGTGGCGGATTCCGCGGAGGGGGGAGGGGGGTGTGAGGACGATGGGGCCGATTTCCTCCCTGTTGGGTCCCGTAAATGTGGTAGTTTATTCTTATTAACCAGACAAAATGCATTGGTTTCATTTAGTAGTGTCAATGTAGGGCCCTGTTTAAAAGACTTGAATGTCTGGACTGCCCCCTCCCGTCTCTTTGGGAAGTTTACGTAGACTCATTACCATACTTCACCACGTTGGTCGGTGCGGGTGGGGTTAGCGAAGGCAGGGTAATAGGATCGGTTGAGATACCACTGATATCAGCCGTGGGAATCTAACTCAGCCCACCGCGTTCATAGCGCAGCGCCGCTGGGCCACCCATCCACACCCACCGCCGATAATGGATTTGTCTGCGTATGTGTGTGGCTGTCCACGAATAAATTGGTCCCAGGAGTTCACGCACACGCGGCTTAGCGCCTCCTATCTACAAACGCCGATATCCAGGGCTTCCGCGGGACTTTATCGGTGTTCGGCGTCACTTTATGGTAATGCCACATCAGTGCACTTCAATCGCTGGGCGTTAATTGCCTAATTACCTCTCGTTTAAACTTAAACTGTGTGGATGGAATTAATCCGTTCGCGGCCGCGGCTGCTTTGTTCGTTGCTTTTCTCTTTCGGTTGTGTTTGTTGTTTGTTTGATTTCGATTCCGTGTCCCGTTTTAATTATAGTTTTGCCTAACGTGTCTTAATTTAGTGCCTTATCTGTGCTGCCGCTAATGACCTCTCTGGATAAGCGAGAAGTCACCGTTGTGCCTTCCCTAAGAAGAAGAAGAGGTCTCAGCGCTACAATCCCTAGATCATCGTCAGCCACGGTTCATCCACTGTTGGATTAAAGCCTGGCCACATTATTGCTTTCACATAGCCGCCCCATGTATACCACAATCCATCTCGGCCATACACCTGAGCTCGTACCATTGGCTCCATCTCCGCGGTTTGTGGTGTACTCACACGGGGTAATGCGCGCGGAGACGCGCGTCTTGTAATTACGTAATCTGGGGAGCGGTGGCGCAAGTGGTTAGCGCACTGCGCGACGAATCCGGCGACCAAAGTTCGGTGACGAAATATCTTGGTCCGGTCCTGGGGGTCACCCGCGGTCAACACGTCCTTGAGGGACTACTGTGCTCGGTGCGGTGTGTAAACATCATCGGCATCAGGGGAGACAAAGGCGGCCCCAGCGTGGCACCTGCCACCAACCCACCTGTGTGTTGTGCTGACCTTTAGGGGTGCCTCGCTAATAGCACTTAGCCCCAAATAGTCTCTTAAAGACTATGATAGGGGGGAGGGGATCTAGCCCCAAATAGTCTCTTAAAGACTATGATAGGGGGGGAGGGGATCTTTATCCTTGTATGTCCATGTATGCACGGCCCGACTCCTCGGAAGATACAGTAATCGATATATTACATATATTAGGCGCTGTCTTGATGGTTTGAAGGTAAGAGATTGCAGGCAAGCGATCTGTATTAGCCGCAAAAAAATACATTAATGTAAATGTCCATCAAGCGCCGCACTCAACGGGCAAACAACACGAAGCCAGCACAGCGGTGTTGAAGAAGCCACGCTGATTAGTATTAGTGAAGGAGCGGTGGCTCGGTGGTTAGCGCCCCGCTCCAATAATCCGGACCCCTCCCCCACCTTCCCGAGTTCGATTCCCAGCCGTGGCCACCACCGGTGTTCTATGAATCCGTTCCAGTTCCTCCTCTTCACCCCCCCCCTCCCCTTCATCAATTCGCGCCCGCCAGCGTGGCGAACTATGGTTAAACAACACTCGCGGATCAACATGGGCTTCATCCAGCAGTGAATTATAATTATTAGTAGTATTTACCTACGGACGAGGCTCAGATAAATGGGCACATTGCACCGGAATGCACAGAGGCTTATGGACCTGTAATATTACGCATATTAATACAGTATTTAATTGTTTGGTGGCGCAATCGACCCCTGTATTTTCATTCGTTAATTTAAAATGTGTATGTACGTGGGGTGCATTGGTGGCGCATTGGTTATTATTTTTAACTCTGCTCATTTACCAAGACTCACGTCGTCTCACGCAGGTAATTATTGCAATTTGAATCATGACGCTAGCATACAATGGCCTATTCTTGCGAATGGGCGTCACGAGATATCTTTATATATGTATATATGCATATATATGAAACATCTACTGGGAAGTGGACAGCGCGTGTTCGTTAGGGTCCATTAACCCGCAGTACTAACCAGGGCGGCCGCTGGATTCGAGAGTGTGAACCCACTGCAACAAGCGGCGAACGCGCAGGGCAATGCCACCGCCCCGAACGCCACTCCACCTTCGAACCTGGTGACGTGAGGTTCGACTCCGAAGCCGTAGGATAACAAGCACCTGAGCCGGAGCTCGTCCACCAAACACACACTTGACCAGCAAAGACGGCGCGGTCAAATCAGGAAGCCCTCATTGCTCAGTAAGTGCACGGGACACCGTTATATCACAGTTCCAGAATGAGACCCCCCCCCCGCCCGCCCGCCCCAGCTCGTGGAGCGAAACGTCAGACACCGTGCCAAACAACGCAGAGCGAGAACAATCAACAAAACGGGCGCCGGTTTCCCCCAATGGCGTTGGCATTTTCCCGTCTGCACGACTCATCATCCTCCTCCGCCCTTGTACAATTTCCTCTTTCTCTCTCTCTCTCTCGTCTGGTCTCGGTCGTAAAATCTGACGCCCGGGTGACTTTACACGCGGATGACAGAGAGAAGAGAGAGGGGAGAACGGACGGACGCCACCAAACTTCGCATTCCACCCCCACGAACCCCGCCCGCACCGGGATCAAACGGGAGAAAACGGGGGGCTCAGACACACACACACACCACACACACAGACATACACCACACACAGACACCTCTCTTCCTTTGTTTTTATTGGGCCTTGGTGGGTGTGATCACGGGGTCGAGAGACACTTCTTGACACGCGATGGGTGGCGGCGTGGGCCCTGCCCGAGATTTAAAAGACAAGGCTGGGGGGGGGCGGTCGGGCTCTTGAGGCTGCAAGGAGGTCGTTGTCCGTTCCGTCGTCACTCAGAGCCACGTGTCCGTGTCTGCCGTAGGTGCCACAAACACGTGGTGGTGGTGGGTGGTGGTGGTGGTGGTGGGTGGTGGGTGGTGGTGGCAGCACCAGCACGCGGTAGACTACATCGCCCAACTTGTCGACAATTATCTCGGCGACGAAAGACAGACAGAGGGTGGTGGGTTGAGGGGGGAGTAACGAGCAACAAGCAGAACTCGATATTGAAATTGTTCTAAAACAGAATGTTATTTTTGGTTAAATTCGTGGTGTTCGTGCGGTAGTTGTATTGAGCGAAACTTTTTTGTTGTTGTTGGAGGGAACGAGAAGGAATGAAGCAAAGGCGCCAATGGATGTAGCTCACAGCAGATGTCCACGTCTATCACCTGGGTGCGACCATGTGTCCCAACGATACCTCGAGCCTACAACCATGCTACTGGTAATTGCCATCATCTGCGGGGCTATTGCCCAGGCGGCCTCCTCCATCGAGCAGCAACAGCGGCAGCGGCACCACCGCGGCCCAAGCCGGAGTCTAACCGGCACCGCCAGCCTCAACGTCGGCGTCCCGCGGGTCGAGGAGAAGGAGGAGGAGCGGGACAGGTTTGCGAGAGACGGCGGCCGTGCGTACGAGCTGCTGCCCGTCTACGAGCACCTGGGCGGAGCGCCACGGCGTAGGAAGCTTTTCTGTGCCACCAGGTTCCACGTGCAGATCCACCCGAGCGGAGATGTGGACGGCACCCTGGACAGGAACAGCGTGTTGAGTAAGTAGTGCCTGCTTTTATTCGATGGTTCTTTCGGTAAAAGTCACGGACACCGATGACGACCGCTCGTGTTGCGATCGAAACGTCGTGATATTTTTAATCACTTTATTTTTATTTGATTTTTTTCTATCTACGTGACTTTACCGAAAGAACCATAGAATATGAATTAACGCAGTCACGAATGTTTTAAGTCAAAATGTAGCGCCTGTTTGTTTGTTGTTCTCGTCCTTTGAGCCACGGGGAACGACAACGTGGCTCCATCGGTACCCAAGCGTGGTGGGTGGCAAGTGCTGACGACGATTTTCTGAGAGAACGGTATCTCCGGATGACAGATACGCACGATGACAAAGCGACCGCGATAGGTTTTGTGTTGTGTCTAAGAGAAGATTTAAAAAAAAAAAAATACATCGTGAAAGAAATGGTTCGCGCGGTATCTGCGTAGGCAAACCGCGCTAATCGCACCACCGATTAGCACGGTTGGTTACGTATGGTGCGAAAGAAATTCAACATACATGCAATAACGTTTTAAAAAAAATAAGATACGATTTAAACAGAGAGTACTGTATATGCGCTAAGATATATCTCTCTCTGCCCGTGGTGGATACTGCCTATGGGGGGGGGGGGGGGGGTAGTGTTAGCATCTATCTCCCAGGTAGTACCGACCATCCTCTTCTTGGCTCATGGGCTGAGTGTGAGCAGGTCTCGGGCTGCAGCCTCCACGAGATGACACTGCCCGGATGGCGCGCGTGAAGCACAGCACCGTTGCTATACAGGGTGCTTCAAAAGCAATTTAACACTGAAATGGGACTATCGTCTTGAATGGAGAAAAAAAAACAACGCATAATATACTGTAACATGATAACAAATGTAATGTTAATAGCTTCAGAAAGTCAGAGTCTCCATCATTGTCAACACGTGGCCTGGCATCTTCTCCAGGTGATCTCCAGAGCCCGGAGGCACATCTCTTGTGGCATTGTTGCAAATTCTCCCGAGTGTTAACGTTTTTTTGAAGCACAGCTCCTTTGCTCAATCCACTGCTGGATGAGGGCCTCCCCTCAGCATGGGGGTCCTTGGTGATGATTCGAACATCATGCTTGACGTTGGCCAGTACGGGTTGTGACTACAACTGTTCATTGTTTCTGCACTGCCCTCTGCTGACAACATAGTCCCGTTAGGAAGCTTCAGGGCTGGCCAGGCCCGACACTGCTTAGCTGCTGAGAGCTGACGAGATCGTCAATGGGAGGTCATCATTTACCCGGCCGTGGCGGCGCACGTCTGTGATCCAAGGGTTGGTGGATCACGCAGAGCTTTGTGACACTCCGTGTTAACACCCTGCGGTGGGGGGGATGTTAATTACCTCGCCTGGTATGCGGGAGGGCGTGGATTCCATCCCGACCCTGACGCCTGCTGTATATTTGGAGTTTTGCGTGTCTTATCTCACCGTAGTCACGTGGATTTTCTGCGAGTCCTCCGGTTTTTCCCTCCACATTTAGAAACATGCGACGAGAGGATTTGCCTGCTACATATTTCCACGCGATAAGCCAATTCGTCGAGGTTTCATTTGTGGCCATGCCGCAACTGGAAAAGAGCTCTGTAGCTCAGTGGGCCTTACAGGGTAAAATAAAAAAAATAGTTTTAAAAGTTTAGACACTCTCAAACCCGACGAGCTGCGAGGTGATGACGGAGCTACAAATGACGATGATGATAGCAATGATGATGATGGTGCTGATGGCCACCATGATACTGATGATAAAGATGTTTGTTCTGTGATCACGTTGTTGATGGAGGTATAGAGGTGGTGGGTGATCATGTCGCTGGTGATGATTATGAATCGAGTGATCATGATCGCAATGGTGGTAATAATGATGCCAGCTATAATGACGTCGATGATGATGATGATGAACTCAGGGATCATGATGATCATAGTGGTGATGATGATAAGGGTGGTGATAACGTTATGGCTTTCGATGATAGTGATGTTGATGTTGATGGCTGGCTTTTTGCGGTAGTGTAGCGGTTAGCGCACTGCGATACGAACCCAGCGTTCCGAGTTCAATTACCGCACACGGCCAACACCAGTGACGAATATCTTAACTGGTCCTGGGCCTCCTCTATGTCGACTCAGCCTCAAATGAGTACCCGGTGCGGTGTGTAAACATCGCTACTGGGGAGACAAAGGCGGCCGGGCGTGTTACTGACCACCCACCCCCTCGTGTGCCACAGTGCCAGCCTTCATACGTTCTCGCTAACAGCACTTGTCACCAACAGTCTGTTAAGGCTATACGGGGGATCTTTGTCTTTGTCTTTTGTCAGGTATACTGGAGATCACATCGGTGGACGTGGGAGTTGTGGCCATCAAGGGGCTACTCTCTGGGCGCTTTCTCGCCATGAACAGCAAGGGACGGCTCTACGCTTCGGTAAACTCTTGGACACCCCGGAACACTGGGATGCAATTGGTACCTGGAAGTGCGTCGTTGGGTTGTGATACAGCAAAGTGTGCGCCGTGCTGCAAATGCAGGCAGCTAAAGCCCTTTAACGGAAGAGCTCATTCCAGCACCCCACATTCTGTGAACAAAACTAAAGCAGGCTGCAGGAATGTAAGAGATCTGGTCAAGTGATCGCGATAAATAAATCGTGAGTGCTTCCTTTGCAGCAAATGAGGCTTGGGTTTCAATTGTCGACCTTTTTGGTATGTAGAATAGTAAAACACCTTCTACAATAGCAAAAAGCACACCAATAAAAATATATATAAGGGGATGACAACACGCAGCAGAGGGCTTCTGGTTCCAGGTGAAAGTGTTTCACGTTAGCTCCCCACAAAGTGGCATTCATTGAATTGACCCCAAAGGTATAATGGGCCAAGTTAACTACCACACCAGGGTTTAAACACAACAAATAACCCTTGTTGGAATGCCAGTTGCTCACTGGATAAATGTCGATTTGAGAACCCCGTGGGAACATGACTCCTCGGCAAGGGGAGACTGCGGCTGAACGTGGCGAAACGTCCGTCGCCAAATGCGTCGCAGGGCCGCTTGCTTCAGGGCATTTGTTAAAGCGATCAAGAGAGGCGGATAGCCGTTCCCTGCGCTTAGCCGTTTCACCCATTCCAGATGTAAAACACTCGCAGTCAAAGACGAGTCTCTCCGTGGGGTTCAGGGGTCAAAGCCAGATTCGGGCAATGCGTTTTTTTTTGCAACGCGACGTTGCGCAACTTTGGGAATGCTCGCTGGTGCTGTTGGTGCCGTTTGTGTTGCTACGGAGACCCGGGAGATCGATGATCGATGTTCGGCGGTCGCCGCGTCGATGGCATTCGCCGTGATTTTTTTTCTCACTCGACAGAGTGGGGCCGCGTGAAGGCTGCCACCTTCCACTCTGGGAATTAAATTGCGTTCCGTCTCAATCGATCGCAGAATACGGCGAGACTTGGATACCTACGTGACTTTACTGATAGAACCAGAGGGCGAGACTTGGATACCCACGTGACTTTACTGATAGAACCAGAGAGTGAGACTTTGATACCTACGTGACTTTACTGATAGAACCAGAGAGAGAGAGAATTGGATACTTACGGTGACTTTACTGATAGAACCAGAGGGCGAGACTTGGATACCTACGTGACTTTACTGATAGAACCAGAGAGAGACTTTGATACCTACGTGACTTTACTGATAGAACCAGAGAGAGACTGGATACTTACGGTGACTTTACTGATAGAACCAGAGAGTGAGACTTGGATACCCACGTGACTTTACTGATAGAACCAGAGGGCGAGACTTGGATACTTACGGTGACTTTACTGATAGAACCAGAGAGAGAGAGACTTGGATACTTACGGTGACTTTACTGATAGAACCAGAGAGAGAGAGACTTGGATACTTACGGTGACTTTACTGATAGAACCAGAGAGAGACTTTGATACCTACGTGACTTTACTGATAGAACCAGAGAGAGACTGGATACTTACGGTGACTTTACTGATAGAACCAGAGGGTGAGACTTTGATACCCACGTGACTTTACTGATAGAACCAGAGATAGACTTGGATACCCACGTGACTTTACTGATAGAACCAGAGACAGACTTTGATACCCACGTGACTTTACTGATAGAACCAGAGAGAGACTTTGATACCTACGTGACTTTACTGATAGAACCAGAGAGAGACTGGATACTTACGGTGACTTTATTGATAGAACCAGAGAGATAGACTTTGATACCCACGTGACTTTACTGATAGAACCAGAGAGAGAGACTTGGATACCCACGTGACTTTACTGATAGAACCAGAGAGTGAGACTTTGATACCTACGTGACTTTACTGATAGAACCAGAGAGTGAGACTTGGATACCCACGTGACTTTACTGATAGAACCAGAGAGAGAGACTTTGATACCTACGTGACTTTACTGATAGAACCAGAGAGAGAGACTTTGATACCTACGTGACTTTACTGATAGAACCAGAGAGAGAGACTTTGATACCTACGGTGACTTTACTGATAGAACCAGAGAGACTTGGATACCCACGTGACTTTACTGATAGAACCAGAGGGCGAGACTTGGATACCTACGTGACTTGACTGATAGAACCAGAGAGAGACTTTGATTCCCACGTGACTTTACTGATAGAACCAGAGAGACTTTGATTCCCACGTGACTTTACTGATAGAACCAGAGAGTGAGACTTGGATACCTACGGTGACTTTACTGATAGAACCAGAGAGAGAGACTTGGATACCCACGTGACTTTATTGATAGAACCAGAGAGAGACTTGGATACCCACGTGACTTTACTGATAGAACCAGAGAGATACTTTGATACCTACGGTGACTTTACTGATAGAACCAGAGAGTGAGACTTGGATACCTACGGTGACTTTACTGATAGAACCAGAGAGCGAGACTTGGATACCCACGTGACTTTACTGATAGAACCAGAGAGAGACTTTGATACCTACGGTGACTTTACTGATAGAACCAGAGAGTGAGACTTGGATACCTACGGTGACTTTACTGATAGAACCAGAGAGCGAGACTTGGATACCCACGTGACTTTACTGATAGAACCAGAGAGAGACTTGGATACCCACGTGACTTTACTGATAGAACCAGAGGGTGAGACTTTGATACCCACGTGACTTTACTGATAGAACCAGAGGGCGAGACTTGGATACCCGACCTGAAATGTTTTGAGTCCAATCGCTAATCACATTTCTACTCCATCGTTTCTACATTTTACACCCTAGCCTTTTTTTCGATCAAAAGAAAAGCGCGAGTAATTTGCCGGCAGAATGCGAACAGCGCCGTTGCTCTGCCCGCGACTCGTCGTTTCGGCACGTGGCTTGACTTTCACAAAAGTCGGTGTTCTCTCGCTGGCGAGCAACCGAGCTTCTCTTCGTAGGCCCACGCCGCCCCCTTGTCCGCGCGTTCAGACCTCACCTACGCTTGCGTTTGTCATCACCTGCTTGGCCCCGAGGTCAACCTTGCAAAAGATACTTGAGGTCTCCGTAGGGTTCACGCGTGGTGACACAATCACGACGATCGATCGTCACAAAGAGCCCTTGCTCTTACGCAGTAATGAACAAGTGTCCGGGTTTGTTGCTATGAAGATGGAGTGGAGTGCTCGGTTACTCGGCCCTTCTTTTGAGTGTTCCAAATTAAGATGTTCTCTAACACAACAGATTATTATTTTTTATTATCCAGACCATGGAACCTGTGCTGCTCACAATCGTATTTTGGCAACGTAACCCTGACCCCAAATAAATGTTCACAATTGTCCCTCTATGTATTTGATCCCGTGTTACAGCAAGTGCACGGGTATTCTGAGAATAGAGTTAACTCATTTCCTTTACGTGGTCAGATGTCAAAGAGCACGGTTGGATACGTACGGTGCAAAAGAAGTGTCAACATACATACAATAAACCTTGAGAACTTTAGCCATGTATTTTCAACTTTAGTTGTTGATTTTTACAAATGTTATGTTTGAGCTGTGATATTTACGCAGTGATATTCTATGAGTGACTAAAGGAAATTGACTTGGTGTTAATAGATATGTGAAGGTAATGACGATGATGATGGCAGCGGTGGAGGTGCTGTGTCAATTATGACGATGTTTGTGGTGGTACAAATGATGATCGTATCGATGATGATGATGATGAAGGTGGTGGTATGGATGGTGATGATGATAAATGTGGAGGTGCAAATGATGGCGATTATAGTTGTAGAATAACTGATTATGATGACTGTGATAATCATGAGCATGTGGCATTGATGATAATAGTGGCGATAGTGGTGGTGGTGGTACGTTTGATGATTACTGTGACAATGGTTTGTATGTGGGATTGATGATGATGATGATAGTGGCGATGGTGGTGGTGGTGGTGGTGCGTATGACGTCGATGATTCTGACAATGATAAGCATGTGGCATTCATGATGATGATGATATTAGTGGCGATGGTGGTGCTGGTGCGTATGACGACGACGATGACGATTCTGATCGGCACGGCAGTGGCCAACGCTCGGCGCGATCCGTTGTTGCGTTGCGACTTAGGGTGCACGCGTCCGTCTCGCGTTACCCGACAAGCCCAGCACGTTCGCTCAGCCGTGCGACGTCCGTCGCTGCGTCCACCGATCCGTGCCCACGTCAGCTCCACTCTTAGCGAAGTTTCCGAGGAGGGTTTCCGAGCGGCGGCAGGCGTTTAACTTGGCATCGCGTTTCCAGGTCGAGAGGTCAAAGCGCTTCCGTAAACTCCCTCGACTAGTGGCGGCGGGGGGGGGATTTGAGAAACACGCTTCCTCTGATAAGCCCTGAGCGGAGCATGCACACTGCTACGTACGTTGAACTTCTTTTGCACCGTACGTAGCCAAGCATGCTAATCGGAGTTACGGGGTAAGGACAACAAATTAAACACAAAGGCAGTTCTGAAAAAATGAGTCTTCAATCTAGATTATTTAAAAGTGCACAGCTCTAGTGGCTTCCCAATATCGGAAGGGAGAACGTTCCAGACGGCCGCGGAAGCGCATCTGAAAGCGCGCGATGCAGTGACCGTCTTTGTTCGATGGCGAGCCAAGAATCCGTGCTGCGAGGATGACCGGAGACCGCGTGATGGTTCATGCTCCTTGACGAGATCAGCGAGCTGTTGTGTGTAAATGAGTGGAAGCCAATGCAGCTCGGCGAGCAACGGAAGAACGCGGTCGCATCTCGCGGCATCCCGTCGCGACGCTGCGCACAACGCCGATTGTGCGACCTCGCACCGTGTGATCCGGACGCTTCGCGAGCGGCGCCCTGCGCGCAGCTCTCCGTCCTCTCTGCCCGGCGAGCTCCTCGCCACACGCGCAGCATCGAGTGTTCGCGTTGCTTTATTTGTCAATGCTTTATTTGCCAGCGTCTAGGCAGTGCCGCACTCTGCCCGCAAGTGATCGGGCAGGGCCTCTCCACGTCGAGCCCCTGACGCACGAGGCAGCCGCAGTAGGCAACGACGGCTAGACTTTGCCGATGATTGCGAACGCGGGTGAAACCAGCCAATGCCGGTGTCGCGTTGTCCTCTTGCTGCTGAATGTAAATTGATCACGGGTTTTTTTTTTCAGTTTCGTGGTCAAGACACAAGGCTGTGCGCATGATACACGCAGCACGGTGGTGTCGTGTGACATGCAATGCATGCTGGGAGGATCGGGCTAATCGTCACAGTTGTGCCTTCTGCTGTTGAGACAATCACCTTGTGTGTCGTACATATGTCAAGGGTTAGTGGATCATGCGAATTTGTTAGATCCCCAAGGCGGCTGGGCCGTGACGAGGTGGCTAGGAGATGACAGGACGGAAACTGGGGTCTGTGAACCCATCCGTGCGGGCCTTGAGTGTAACCCCCCCCCCCCCCCCCGCCCCCCCCCCCATATGTGTGGGTTTACTGTGGGTGCTCTCATGTACGTACTCCCACATGCCACTCGTGAATGGAATTGGCCAATGCATCCCATGCGAGACCCTCCTAAACACACGCGTGGTGAGACTCGTCCCGAGGCATTTCTCGATACATTATAATTGTTCTTACTTTCAGAACTGCTCAAATCATTGATCGGTCATCTTTAAAACACATTTTACGCGTGCAAAATAATTATCCACGGCTACCGATATTGCCATTTAGGATGGATGCATAACCCCCCCCCCCCCCCCCCCCCCCCACTGGACGTGTGTGAAAAAGAGCTTCACAGCTCATCGCATTCCTCTTTAAGATTACCATTCTGATCTAGGCGTTCGTTTCTCCGCTTGTCCTGATGAGGGTCGCGGCTGCAGCACGTTGAGTAGGGCGGTCCCGACTGAGCTGAATACTGCAAGTCAGCAGCATGCAGCTCAGTGGTACTGCAATGCGCGTGTAGAAATGTGCACGCGTGTTTTTGACGGGGGAGAAAAACAGCAACATTAAAAAACTCAAAACAATCGTCGGTTAACACTGTGGCCTTAAAAAAATGCAATCGGTGATGTTTTTCGCAATGGCCTTCTTAATAGCAGGTGCCCAAAATATGAAGTGTTTGTCGGTGCTATGAAGAAGGGACATTGCTCGAAACGTCAAATCTAACACGTCTTTCATTTTAATTTATTGACGATTGTGTTGAAATTTTTGTTCATAAAAGTGCATCGGTTTAATTGACAAGACTGTGTTCTTGCACTCAAGGTTCCAATGCAACGAATCACGCTTGGATTCACAATTCATACAAAATACAGAATGCACATGGTCGGCTGCAATTAAGCTTTTGCATCTAACACAACTGTACAAATGAGACGGTAAAAACAAGACAAATTGTTTGATTCTTGCATCGAATAATTTTGCCCCAGATTGTGACATTCCAATGAATCCCCAATGCGGTAAAGCGTCACCTCTGCAGCTTGTTTGTCAATCCATTGACGGTCATTTGACCATACTTCGCCACGCCGGTCAATGCCAGTCGGCACTTCCTTCTGCTGCCACCACTTATCTCCGTGGCCCGCCACCACCTGTTGTGCGTGGTGGCCGCCCATCCAAGCACTATCCAGGATCAACGCCCGCTTAGCTTGTGATCTGTGACGAGACCAGACACGTTGCGGGCCACTCGGCCACCGGTGGAAATCTCAAACGTAATTGTCGAAAACACTGCCCTAGGAGGAAACAATACACACAGGCTGCAATGGCTGACGTCTCGTGACAACTCTCCCACGTGTGTCCCGCGTGCGTTGAACTTCTTTCGCAGCGTCCGTGGCCAACCGCGCTTAATCGAACGGTTCCACAGCAGCGGGCAGCAGCAGCAGCAGCAGGAAGACGTGGCACGGCCCCACTCCGCGGCGTCTTAACTCTTTCACTCGACTCCCCGCACCTCCCCAATCGCCGCAGGCGTCGTTCGGCCCGGAGTGCGAGTTCACGGAGCGCATCAACGCCCTGGGATACAACACGTACGCGTCGCGCGCCTTCGGTGGCAACGGCGACGAGGGCATCGGCGCCGGCGGACAGACCGGCGCACGGCGGCCCTGGTACGTGACCATCAACGGCAAGGGCCGGCCGCGGCGGGGATTCAAGACGCACGCCGTGCAGGTGGCCGCCCTCTTCCTCCCGCGCCTCCTCGACGCCACCGACCGTGAGCTGCTGCGCCTGCTGCTGCTGCTGGCGGCCGGGCACGGCACCGGGCGGCTGCCGGAGCTGGGCTAAGCGAGACAAAGTGGCGCCGAGCCGAGAGGGCCCTCTGGCGTTTGCGGCTGTCCCAAAGGTCCCCGCGGGCCCCTTTTTCCTTTTCTTCCTGCCTTCAACTTTGGACTCTCTTTTTTTTTTGATAGCTCGCTCTCGAATCGTGCTGCCGCTTGGCGAGATTTTTCACGAGGTGAAGACGCCTGTTGTGGGAATCCCTACGGCGAGCGGTCGAACGTCGCCCCAACGACGGAGAGGATGGTGACCCGAGAGTGACTTGCCAAGTGGCTGCAAGCGGCCTCTCACCCGGCCTACGGCGCGACAGCTCCTTGGGCCTCGAGACTTACGCAGATCTTGTCCTTGCAGCGTTGGGCACGGGACGGCATTAGCCGGCGACGACAGCCAGGGTCACAGCACGAGAATCCACAATGAACCGGTAGCACCGACATAAGTCAACGCAGATGCCACTAACCATATCCCCAATATTATATCCGACTGTAGCACCTACCGCCCACCAACTTACCCAGAATTTGGGCCAACCTCACCAGTTCTCAGACGCTAAGCAGGAGGGTTGGGTTTCGACAGCGTTTGAATGGACAGCGACCCCGCAGGACACACGTGGTCCAGGCTGCTGCAAGGTGGGCAACGAGGGGGGCGGGGGTGCAATGCAGCAAACCCCATTGTTGTGCTGTACTATGCTCCTACGTCTATGCTGGCCCGCCTTCAGCCACCCGCACTGACACAGGGTTTGGTAACGTATGGTCAACCAATAAATAAGGTCACCACACACGCGCCCTTGCATCAACAGGTCACCATCACCGCGCCCGGTGATCGCGCCCCTGGCTCTGGGCGGAGAGTCGTCAAATGAGCGTGGGGTCGGGGAAGTCGGTGACATTCGTGGCCATTTGATGACATCGATCGATCGATCGATCAATCGGATTTTAATCGGATTTCTTGCTGCGTTTTGCAGCCCGGGCCGCTGTTTCTGCCGCGGTTCAAGAGAACACCGTTCCAGGCTCAAGCGTTGCCGCTCGTTCTCTCCCGGCTCTTGGCTGCGGACTTCGTGACGGCGTTTGGCCAGGAGTCCAGCGTTGCTGCGTGGAGAACAGTGGCACGAAGTGTTACACGGGGGAGTGATCTAATCCACTCTGTGAACAAGACACGGAAGAGAAGGAGGCCCTCAGTGAGAAAAGATCAACTACTGCATCATTAAAAGTAATAATAATAATAATATATAAATACTGCAAAGACTTTCATGGTGCTGACCAGTTACACGATACAAGTTTACGAGCCAATGACTGCATTTTTTTCCAGGCACAAACACACACCCCGCGAATTCATCACGAGACTCACTTTATATTCTTGGTTCTTTCGGTAAAGAATATGAATCACTGCAGTCGCGAAAGCTTTAAATCAAAATTTGAGACTCACTTTGTTCGTACAAAGTGGCCCCGGAATTGCAAATGCCGCACGCGTGGCCAAATTGACACCCTTCCCATGGGAATGTGGAACTTCCACCACTGCACCAGTGCCGCCAATGCGGGCGAGAACTGCACCCACCCACGCTCGTCTGTGTGGGAAGACTCGTCGGGCACCAGACCCTGCGAGCGACGATTTGCTTCGCCGTCACGCCGGCCCGACGATGAACCTTCAGTGGCTGCCGTGCGCGCATTTCACAAGGGTCCACCCTGGGACACCTGATGGAAGTGGCTTAAGCCACCTCGGCCACAACGCGATGTGCCCGCGCACGCTCGCTCTGCGCAAGTATTCACTCGTCGGGAATTTGTGGACTGGTGGCGTGTTGTAGGGAGGGTGACATCACTTTTGAGATAGAGCCAAGAGCTTGACATTGAACAGTGGGGGGGTCAGTGTCCAGGCATGAGTCACATTTGGGATGAGGCCTCTGCTTGTTAACGCTGTTATTTATTACGTAGCCAACTGAGGGTCAGAGAGCTGGGACTCTAAAAGGGAGCGACAAGACAAGAAGCTCCTAGGCCTTTTGAGTATAGGTGCGCACAGATGATGCCAGGAGTTTCAACACATCAAAGGGTAAGCAACTTGGAAGTTGAGAATATAATTGGGTAGGCAAGCATTGTGGGCTTATTCAAGGAAGAGAACGCTGCGATGGGGTAGAATGCGCTTGCATGTTGGTGGGGGGGCAGGTTACCAAGACAAACACTGGAGTCGCACTCAGTGCTCTGAGACTAAGGGGAGTGGTGATGAGGCGTTAAGAGCAACGGGTGTGTGATCCGCACCTCCGATTAACACGGTTGACTACGTACGGCGCGAAATAAGTTCAACATACAGTACGTGCATCTGGCAGAAGGAAGGAAGCGACGGCGAGGTGCGGCGACGACGGTATCAGCCACGATAACCTCCTGAACTCGTCGGAGATAAGTTACGTTTTGAATGTACCGGCGATGCTTTCATATGACGGGGGCAATGAAACAGAATGTACTGCACACCTCCGCTTGACGAAGACCTCCACATGATGTGCAGAGGTTGTTTGACCATACTTCACCGCACTCGTCAGTACGGGGAAGGTGAAGGGGTCGCGGAACCCGGCCAAGAACCGGTTGGGATATCACTCGCCCACTGACGATAGCCGTGGCATGGAATGAAACTCAGTTTGCTGGGGTTCATAGCACAGTGCGTGAACACAACGTCACACGGTGCCGTACTTGTGACAATGAAGTCGGAACCAAGGTGGGCAGCAGGTGATTGCTTTGGATGTTGGAAGTCATTGGTGGTGATTTTCCAGTCGGGCAGGCTTTTCCCCGCCGAAGGAATGTGGAATTTCCACCGCTGACTCAGGTCCACCAATGGAGACGAGCACAGCCCAATGCTCGTTGGCTCACGTCGATGCTTCGCTAATTGATCATTTTTGATTGCTAACATTCATTTGTACGCGTGCATTGATTTCATTTATTAAAATCAGCTCTAAATGCTCGCGATCCAGTCCAAAGTCGATTATTTATGATTTTTGAAGATGGCACGCAAAAAATAAACGATGGCACATTTGTGGCCAATGGAGGGGACAGAACTGCGCAGACAGGAAAATAGAAATGAGGCAGTAAAAATGAGACGAAAAAAACTAATTCTTGAATCGAATATCTACCCTAAATCGTGACGAATCATCCGATCACAGTGGGAAGGAGTAACTTGTTCCATGCCCAATAAATACTAAAGTACCCATTCAAACGTACATTTAAAACAAACCCACGCATTAACATAAATTGATATTGCTCTAATTTGTGTCCTTTACGCAAATGTGAGGCCAATAAAAAAAAATTGTTCGAGAACAAAAAAAATATTTCGTCAAACTCCTGCACATGTTAACAACAATAATAACAAAACACTCGATTTTCTAGCTCGCGCATATTTCGCGAACCGGACGCATTTTTCCTTCGAGAGCGGTGGTGACATTAACAAGCGCCACTAACGAGTGTCCTTAGCGTCCATCCCCGAGCGCATTGAGGTCAGAAGCAACAACTTGCTTAGCCAATTGAGTCACCAGAATCATCGCCGTTTGATAATCACATTGACAAACCATTTCCTCTGCCGCCGTGAAATGTTTTGCTGTTGACAAGCTTACACTCCATTGGCTACCGCTGCCTAATTAGGCTTGGTGTAATAATGGCCAGTTTTGCTCATACTGTATTTATTTTACAAAAATGTGCTCACTCTGGCTCCTCTTTACTGTATATTCGAACGGCGGGCGGTGTGCTTTTAGATGCGCGTTGTCCGTCATTAAACTGTTTACGTTTGTCATTATGGTCGCATTGTTATTTCAAAAAAAAAGGATGGTTCTTACGTTTTGTAACCCGAGACCCGCTCGATGTGCCACCACACCAAGGCGCAGGTGCACCGCGAGCTTTCATCAAGAATCGCGACACCACTGCACGTCTCGTCGGTTCTATCGTGCACCATGACCCAGAACAACGAGCCATCAAGCTCCACTTGATTCCTTGCAAAAAGATATCTATTTGGTGTTTGAACATCTTAACACCTCCTGTTGTATTGGCAGAAAGGGGGCCAAACGTGTTCTTATTTGTCTACACTTTGATACCGGCAGAAAGGCCCCCATGATGTAGCTGCTCGTCCCGAGCGATAAATGCTCAGATACGTGTGGCATTGTCTTTGTACTGTTCGCCTTCCGGCGTTCTCTTCTCTGACACTGGCGGTGGGAGACGAGGCCATAGAGAAGACTGCCGTCTCTGGTGTAGGCCAATCAGTTCCATAGACAATGCAGAGCCATGTTCGTTTACATGTTCACCACAAGTGCTGTGTGTGGTTAATGCAGACTTGATTCCTTGCGAAAGCTATCTCGATTTGGTGTCTGAATATCTTAACACCTCCTGTTTTATTTCCAGAAAGGTTAAAACGCCTATGATTATTTTTCGGCTCCACTGATATTCAGGGTTCTCATCCTGGCGTCCAGCTGCGATTAACCCAAATTTGTCGGAGCGGCATTTGAGCTCCCTTGCTGTGCGGCAACGGAAAGAGCAGATTCCAGAGTGTGAATCCGCGTAGCCGCCGTGCGTCACGGTGTTCCGAGGCCCTTGCCGCCACATGCCCGTGGGCCCCCTTTGCGAGGCGAGGCTTCCGAAAGTGGACGCAGCGTGGCGGCAGCGGCGATGCACCTTGCCGTCAACTCCTGGCTGAGTCAGCGGGGACTCCCCGTGGACAGCAGAGCGAGACCCCCCCTCCCCGCCACCCCGTGGCTTCTGGTCGAGAAGTTGCCAATGGAAAAGTCGTCACGGCTGAATCATCGCCCGAGCTGCCACTGGGACACGCGTATAAACTATAACGCCATATACGCACATGGACACTTTTAGCACGCTTTTAACACGCTGTACGCACGGCAGAAAAGTTAACTTCAGCGGAAGCTATAATGTGTCAAGTAGAAGCGTAATAATGTGTGTGTTGGTCATAGGTCAGGATGGTGAACTTTAACAAAACGATCGGATATCAAAAGTTTACGGACATTCAGTTTAGTTTTCGCATGCGGGTGGGTTTATGGAATTCCGTGGAGAGATTAGGGTAGACACGTTGGCTGTTTGGAATTGCACAGCAGAGCAGCGGAGATGCAATCAGGAAGAGACAATTGTGATTAATGAGACGCGGTGTACAGAATTGAGGAGAGCAGCTTACCGAGACAGGCAATGGAGTGGTATCCAGCGCTTCACTACCGAGGGGAAGACCCAAGGTGGTGGTGGTGGTGGTGATGAGGCACACAGGGGAGCGGTAGTGTAGCGGTTAGCGCGCTGTGCTACGAGCCCGGCGAACCAGTGACGATTATATCTGAACCGGTCCTGGGCCTCCCCTAGGCCGACTCAGCCTAAAATGAGTACCTGGTGTAGCGATGTGTAAAACTTCAACGTTGAGCGTGGTGCAGACCACCCACCCCCTCGCGTGCCGTGCCGGTCTTCATAGGTGCTCGCTAACAGCACTTGCCCCAACAGTCTGTTTCGGCTATACGGGGAATCTTTGTCTTTGTGTGTGTGTGTTGACGCTTTGTTTGTTTGATGAGACTGTAAAGGAGCGGTCACTGTTCTTGGAAGGATATGCCATCGCTGCAAGATCTGACAGAAGAAAGTGACGGCTCAAGCGAGGGATGGGGTCGGTGCCCACTGCCATGGCTCGCTCTAATGTCACCGCTGCCCTTCTTGTCCGATATACAGCAATACCCCGCTTTAGGTCGGGGATGCGTTCCTGCAAGGTGCGACGACGAATATCGAAACGACGTCAATCGAAGCGACTTACAGGGTCGTAGTGGGTGATGGAGGCGAAGGCTGAGAGGCGACAGGATAACGAGAGAGGACGCATGATGCCGTCAGCGACGAAAGTGTGGGGTTGAGGCGACGCAAATTACGTAGTGGTGTTAATAAAGCGACGACGTATCTGCGAAACGACGTAAAAGTGCGAGACTTAAGTCTGGGTATTACTGTTTTGAGATTTTTGTCTTTACATTTATAGTCCCATTTGTCAATCCACTGCTAGATGTGGGCCTTCCCACGCCGTGCAAATCATGGGGGGGGGGGGGTTACTTGACCAGCCTTCACCGCGTTGCTCAGTGCGGGTTGGTAAGGCTGGGGGAGCATAGATGTGGGACCATAGTACGGTACAACAATATATTTTGATACACAACAGCCTATATAAACACGCCTTATGCATTGGTGGTCACCCTCATCCAAGCACCGTCTAGGCTCAATCGCGCTTCGCTTTTGAGATCCGGAGCAGTCTAAGTTGATCGGGCCACGGGGGCGATCATCATACACGTGCACGGTGCAAAAATCCCGATGATGCAGCATCGAGGCCGTGATCGAGGCTGCTGCTATGTGATGCTGCGGCCTGCAATAAACGCTTCTTCTTCTTCTTTCGTATGGCTGCTGATGTAGATGCAGAGCAACAAGTAGGATTTGACATTCAGGTGGTCAAGCCAGATAGCCGAGCAGTCGCGGAGTGTATCGTCACTGTGATGTCTCCCTTCGTATTTGTGGATCGGGCATCGCATTGTGCGGTCTGTTCTTGATGAGCACAGTCGCACACTGTAGAGAGTTTTACATTCTCCATTTTCGCTTCAGGTATCCGCATCTACTGCCATGGTGGTTTGTGGCAGTGGATGCGGTTTTAGGGTGAATCGTGAGCTTCAGTGGAAGATCAATCCCAGGGATCTTCCGCGTTGGGCCTTTCACGAACGCACGTGCGACCCAACGCATTCACGCGCAGTGTGCACAGGCGATTCCTAACTTTGAAGTGTCTGAACCTGTACCACCTGGCCCTCCTGCACTCCCACACATTGAGTCGACAAAGTTCCTCTGGCCCAATGACAGGAAGCGTTACTCAAAACTCGTAAGAGGTTCGGCATAGCGTAGTTTGTTTTAACTGAGCAGGTGTCTGGTTTAAAGCGTTCCTGGATTCATGTGCGGTATGTTGGGGGAAGGCCGGCGAATTCGTGCGCGTGTTTGTGTGTGTGTGCTCACAGCACTTGCACCAACTGCTTTGTAGAGGCTATACCGGGGAGGTGGGGATGGATATCTTTGCCTTTGCGTGTGCGTGTGTGTATGGTGCGTGAGCAAGTTCAATTTGAAAATGCATCAAGGTCTAATAGACATCTCTGTTCGCGGGTTATATCATCGCGAAACACTGTAGTGGCGTTTGAAAATTGAGCGTCGAAATTTACTTTACAAGGTATGCATTGAGGCAAGCTGTCCTGGAGCAGTATCCGAAATTGGCATTGCAGTTTCCAGTGCTTGCACGATCAATTCCGCGGTCGACTCAGCCCATCATCTCTCCGTGATAGAGAAAACATTAGTTCCCGCTTTGTGGCTCATCCACAGTGACCAGGGTATAGAAAAACGAGTCCCCGTCATTCAATGCTGAATTTGCACCACTGGTTCAGGATCATCAGCACGGAGACAACTTGTTTTGATTGGTTATCGAGGTACAATTAAGTTAAATTCGCCATCGTCATAACCACAGGGCACGCAGGGCTGTGTTTCACGTGGTTCTATTTGTGAAGCTCACGTAAATATGCGTCAGAGGCATCTGAAGAGGCCGCTTTGCGCGATGTTGGCGATTACACGAACACACCACCCAGCAGTGTCTGCTGTGGAGTGGCGATGTGACACCATCATTCAAAGGAGTAGGTCATTATAAAGTGCTGCTGTAATGGCTAATTCAAACTATGAATATTAAACATTAAATTATATTCTTTGTCATCATTGCCAATTTTCTGTCCACCGTTGGATGAAGGCCTCCCCAAGGTTGACGCCTGTCATGCTCCTGCGATGCCACAATCCCTGTCACTCCCGTGCATGAGCTGATTTAATCGTTCCATCTCCACGGTGGTCGTCCTTTCAATGGGTGGGTTTCCTCCTGGAGCTACCATTATGTGACCAGTCTCATCCATCTGCTATCATCCGTTCGAGCGATATGCCCTCCCCAAGCCCACTTTTATTCATGTCAATACGATGTCTAATTTGCATTTGTTCTAGGATCCACATGGTTAATTTTTCTCATTGCTATTCCCAGCATGTATTTCTCCATGCTGCTTCGCATACTTTAAAGAGTTAATTCCACGTTCTTTGTCGGAGTCAATGTTTCCAATCCATGTGATGGCGGGTAATATTCACCGACTGAAAAACATCTTTTTTTAAGGCACATTGGCATGCCGCTTTTTCATTTTCCGGCCGTGTCCCTGGAAGAATTATGCCCTTTTATTTTGCTCATATTCATCTTTAGCTCCACATCACGGCCTTCTTTGTCAGGGTCCTCAATCGCCGCCGTTAATTCAATAACGCCGGTTGTTATAATCCGTCCGTCGTCCATCAATTCGCGTGGACAGCTCTGGGGTCCGTTGCGGCGATCCGTGATGACCTCTGCGTTTGGCCTCGTCCCAAGTTCGGCGGTGGGAGGCGCGCGAGGAAGCGGTGGCGATTTCATAGATCCCAGGAGAGGAGAGGGCTCCACCAGGTCAGCGAGGGCCGCCCGCCTGAACCGACGTCAGTGGCGAGCTCCGAGCCTCTACATAGCAAGGCTGCGTTCATCAAAGTGTGAAAAGTGTGCGATGACGATGCTCATACGAGACGCTCAATTTCGAGGCCAACCAACCATGAAGAGCGGGCTGCTATATATTTTTAAAACAAATCGTTGTTCTACCAGTGACCAAATACATACTAATAATCATATTCTAATAAACACAATTTCATAGCAAATGCCGTAATTATTCCTGGCATATGAAAAAAGGCATTTGATTCCATGGAATTCTGATGCGGTCATCCGAGCTCTCACAAACCAAGGTCTTGATTTTAAAATACGGCACGCTGAAAGTATCACAACATTTCATGATGATGGAACAGCGCCACTGAAATTCCATGAAGTAGCAAAATACAAATCAGCGGAGGAGTCAGGCAAGGTGAAATTCACTCACCACGGCTCCTGACAGTGACCGCAGTGCAGATATTTTGTGCAAACTGGACGGCAGGAATAAAAGCTTTTTAAATAAATCAGCGGCCAACGTATGAACCATGGACGACATAAATTACAAACGGAACAAAATGCACGCCTCTCCCTGCTCAAACCAGCATGGGGGCGGTGAAATTCCACATTTCCTAGGTGGGGCCCAGTATGTCCGGAGAACAGGCACTGCAGCCTTTCTCCAAGTGGTACTCATTTGATTGATTTCGGAGGGATAATGGGCTGAGCCGGCGGCTCTCAGACAGGAAATTAACTCACGTCTCTCCAACTCTAGTTTATGTACGACGACATCGCCACCCAGCCGCATAAATTAACGCGATTTGATTGCGGATGGTACGCGTTCGGAGCGCAGCAAACGTGGGCACGCATTTTACATTCAACACCGACGGGTGGTTTAAAATGTACGTCGCCCACACTCCCCACGCCCTCCCACCCATCAATATCGCGCGAATTAATTTCAATCGTGGGCCGCTCCTCATCCCTCCGACGGCCGAGGTGCTGCCCTGACACAACCCCGGCCACGCGGCGCAAAGCGCGCGACGAAAACGGAGCGCCCGCGACGAGCCAAGAAGCAGCAGCAGCAGGCAGCAGCAGGCAGCAGCAGGCAACAGCAGGTAGCAGCTGGCAGCAGCAACAGCAGGCTGCAGCAGCAGGCAGCAGCAGCAGGCAGCAGCAGCCGGCAGCAGCAGCAGTAGGCAGCAGCAGGCAGCAGGCAACCACACGGAGAGATTTCGCCTTGAGACGCAATCGTTCCCGCGACTCAGCGCACACGCGCGCACTGCAACGGCAATCGAACGTCTGCGGAGGCGACTCTGTGACATTTCACGGATTTTTCTCTGGGCATTAGAAAGAAGGGGGGCGGGGACGGAAACAAGTTCCCTGCATTGTTGATCTCATACCTGACAGCACGCTGCTTTGTTGGGGCCACAAGTTCGCAGCGGGTGGCCCGCGAAACGCAGCGTGCATCACGATGACGCACGAGGGGGGAGACACCTAAGGGGGTCAACAACAACAACAACAACAAACTCGTTCTAGCGCACCGCAAGAATAACTTTTTTTTTCTTCCCGAACCAAGAACAGCTCCGTAAATTTAGCAGAAATGTCATTTAACCCACGTGATTCAATAGCGAGACAGATTCCTTATAAATAGGGCGGGCTGACTGATGGCAGTTTGCATCCACCGCACTGTGTCACCACCAATGTCTTGGCGCAAAGCCACCGTTTCAACTCCAATCCGTACGACGTCAACGCAAGGCATTTTTCCTCTCTCTCTTGCAATCTCGTCCGTTCACTGCCGACGTGCGCCCTCGCTCTTTTGGAGTGGCCAGGCATCTGAGACCGGACCACATTCTGGAAGTATAGAGACATTGTTATTGTTGCTATAATAAGTCCTGCAGTGTCAGTGCTGCTGGTGGCGGTGGTGGTGGCAGAGAGAGAGAGAGGGAGACAGACACAGAGAGAAAGAGAGTGGAGAGAGAGAGAGAGGAGACCGGCTTCAGTCTGCTGGTATTTTTAGGTGGATCCCATCAACCAATCTTCCCTCCTGCAGGCCAACAATCCACGTACCGCGTGGCTGGCACACGATGGGTGGAGCTCAGCCGGTTCTCCACTTGGCAGTAGCAGCGTGCCTCGTTACGTGCGCGCCGCCAAATTTGACGCAGTGCTACCCGCTCGCGACCTCCTCCGGCCACGCCACCGTGCCCCGCCAATTCTGGCTCGTGGGCTGTCGACACAACTCCAGGTATCCCCCCGCGTCTTCCAACTCCTCCTCATCCTCCTCGCCGTCGTCATCATCTCCTGCTGCCCTGGGACTCCCGGGCGACGGGCGAGGTTGTACGGTGGGCGGCTCGGAGCGGGCGCTGAAGCGGCTGGAGCGGCGGGGCCCGCGCGGCTACCTGGCGGGGATCAAGCGGGTCCGCCGCCTCTACTGCAACGTGGGCATCGGCTACCACCTGCAGGTGCTGCCCGACGGGCACGTCAGCGGCGTGCACAGCGAGAGTCCCTACAGTGAGTGTGCGAGCGGCGGTCACACCGCACCGCGAGGGGGCGTGGGGCGGTTGGTGATACTGGAGGAATCTGATGAGCTGTAAAGCTCTTTTTCACACATGTCCAGTAGATTACTGTCGTACACCACCCCCCCCCCCCTCCTCCTCACCACTCGGACGGCGGGGTGGCGGGGGCACGAAAGTTGACGCGACACAAACTTTGAGCGAATGTCGAACGCTCAGTGGAATTTGCGACGGTGCGATCCTGCTCCGGTCTATTGTGCGCATCGCACAATGTTAAAAAAAAAAATTCGTAAAAATTTTTGCATTTAATCCAGCCACGTGCAACTACTGCCGAGATTCAGCAAACACTCAAGGGTGCCGATTCACCGAACTGAGGCAGATGCGCAGGGGCACAATTTCTGTTTCACGGTTATGGGGTTCCGTTTATTTAGTTTGACATCGGTGAAGACTCAACAGGCCTGGCCGAGTCTCGTTCGCAACGAGTGACCTGGGGCATTGGTTCTGCCAGTTGGGGGTGGTGGTAGTGGTGGGGGGGGGGGCGATGATTTACCGTAATAATCCCAATTGAGTAATTTTGACATCCGCCAAACTGGTAAACTTTGAAGAAAACCCGCCACACCGATGCTAGATAACGTAACAACATTTTTGGACTACCAATTTCGATGGCTGAGAGTTCCCCACCCCCCCCGCTCCCTTTCCCCCACCGACCACTTGAGGCCTGTTGGCACCGCTCCCGCTCGCTCTCTGGGCATGGCTCACTCGCCGCAGTCAGTTGAACGGCACGAGGCGTCCACCAGGCCAGCGCCTCCACGCACGTGAACTTGGCCAGAGGCTGACGGTGGCGGTGGCGGTGATGATGAATGTGCGCTCGGTTGGCCTCGGTGTATTTTTGGTGACAGCTGCGCCGTGCTGTGTATAGGATGCCTGTGGCCGTTGGTAACCGCGGATGTACACAGACAAGCTCACACTGGCCCGTGTCACACCTATAATTATATAGACGCACATGTACGTACGATATCACTCGCGCACACAAAAGACAAAAATCCCCCGGATAGTCTATTGGGGCAAATGCTGTTAGTGAGCACCTATGAAGGCAGCCACAGCACGCGAGGGGGTGGGTGGACAACACCACGCCCCGGCCGCCTTTGTCTCCCTAGTGGCGATGTTTTACACACCAGCACACCAGGCACTCGTTTGAGGCTGAGTCGACCTAGGGAACACCGAGCACCGGTTCAGATGTTGGCCGTGACAGTGAATCGAACTTTGGTTGCCGGGTTTGTAGGGCAGTAACAACTACTCTACCGCTCCCCGAATATAAAGACATGCATGTGCTTGCCAAGACAAAATATCCCCCGGATAGCCTCTAACAGACTGTTGGGCAAGTTCTGCTAGCGGGCATCTATATAGAAACACGGAGACACCAAAAAGCAAGGTGCATGAATGTTCATGAAATTCCGAATTTGACACAAGACGTGTGGCTGGCATCGGACACGAGCCATAATCGGATATGTCAACTGTTTTAACTGCCTCACGCCTTGTGGATTAGAGCAATTAACGCTCTGAACTCCCTTGTTTCTTTTGCCAAACACAGCATCGCCATGGTGACTAAGTGGTCGACCCTCAGTTCATTTCCACGCCCCCCTGTCCTCTCACCCTCTCACCCTCTCCTTCTCTCTCTCTCTCTCCTCTCCCTCTTTGCTTACCTCCTCCCACTCCGATGCTTTAAATATCGCACCATGATCTCTGTCTGCTTCCCAGAGAGCCGAGACGGACCGAGCTTTCAGCCTATCACAAGAATGGTTACGTGCCACCCCGGTGGATTATGGGCATTTAACGCAAAACAATGAACGCAGACAAGGATCACTCTTCTTCTTTGGTTCTTTCGGTAAAGTCACGTAGAATGAGAATAAAATAATAAATTGATAAAATAAAATAACACAATCATATTCTCACGACGCTTGTGTTGTGGCCGAAACGTCGTGAGAATATTATTGTGTTATTTTATTTTATCAATTTATTATTTTATTCTCATTCTACGTGACTTTACCGAAAGAACCAAAGAAGATGAATCATTGCAGTCACGAAAGCTTTAAATCGAAATTTAAGGATCACTCTTACCGTCGATACGTTAAATAAATTAACGTTTAGGTCCCATCGGCCTTTTGGGACTGCTGCGGCAATGGTTTCCAGCAGTTTTATTTTTTTTTATTTTTCAAAAAGAGAACAAAGACTATGCTGATGAAAGTCAGAAAGTCAAAGCACGACCAGAGTTCTGCTCAAATGAATTCTGCTAGAAATCATCGGTCCAGAAGCCAGTAAAAGGCCGGCAGATCCTAAATGTTGTTTTAGTTTATTGGCGATGAAGCGCAATCCCCTTTTGTCCGTTTATTTTTAGCCTCTCGTAGCTGTCACCTCAAGCAGGTCTCGGATTGTTCAAATCTCGCGTTGTGGCGCTCAATAAACCCAAAGCCGCCCCCAATGCCCCATTGAGCACGTGGTGAGCTCCGCGCTTTATTCATCCGGGGAAACATCTCAGCAAAGTCGAAAGGCCCTTTTTCAAAATGGTCTCGCGGGAATTTGGATGTTTCGCCCAATTTCATGAATTCGTGTTTTGCCGATTGGAGAAAATTAGATAACCTGGGGACCCCCCCCCTACACACACACACACACAGGGGGTGTTTGACTCTCCGCACAGAAATATTCAAAGACACAGTGAGTCCTCTTTGCCTTCAAAGTGCCGCTTGAAGCGGGAAAAAACGCATTCAGCGAAAACGATTTCCCCATGAATAATGTAGCGATAAAGTTTGGCGAGATGCGATGTACTGCGCACACACAGTGGCACAAACTGAGGGTACACGGCCGCGTCGCGATATCGTTCCACGTCCTCTGTCATAACGCTCAGCCGCGTGACCTCAACAAAGTAGTTCGTCGCCGACCGCTCGGAAACTCTGTTATGACTGTGAGTGCTCCACGTGATGACGGTGAGTGCTCCACGTGATGACTGTGAGTGCTCCACGTGCTGACTGTGCGTGCTCCACGTGATGACGGTGAGTGCTCCACGTGATGACTGTGAGTGCTCCACGTGCTGACTGTGCGTGCTCCACGTGATGACGGTGAGTGCTCCACGTGATGACGGTGAGTGCTCCACGTGATGACTGTGAGTGCTCCACGTGCTGACTGTGCGTGCTCCACGTGATGACGGTGAGTGCTCCACGTGATGACTGTGAGTGCTCCACGTGCTGACTGTGCGTGCTCCACGTGATGACGGTGAGTGCTCCACGTGATGACTGTGAGTGCACCACGTGATGACTGTGAGTGTTCCACGTGATGACTGTGAGTGCTCCACGTGATGACTGTGAGTGCTCCACGTGATGACTGTGAGTGCACCACGTGATGACGGTGAGTGCTCCACGTGATGATGGTGAGTGCTCCACGTGCTGACTGTGCGTGCTCCACGTGCTGACTGTGAGTGCTCCACGTGATGATGGTGAGTGCTCCACGTGATGACTGTGAGTGCTCCACGTGATGACTGTGAGTGCTCCACGTGATGACGGTGAGTGCTCCACGTGATGATGGTGAGTGCTCCACGTGATGACTGTGAGTGCTCCACGTGCTGACTGTGAGTGCTCCACGTGATGACTGTGAGTGCACCACGTGATGACGGTGAGTGCTCCATGTGATGATGGTGAGTGCACCACGTGATGACTGTGAGTGCTCCACGTGATGACGGTGAGTGCACCACGTGATGACGGTGAGTGCTCCACGTGATGACGGTGAGTGCTCCACGTGATGACTGTGAGTGCTCCACGTGCTGACTGTGAGTGCACCACGTGATGACGATGCGTGCTCCACGTGATGACGGTGAGTGCACCACGTGATGATGGTGAGTGCACCACGTGATGATGGTGAGTGCACCACGTGATGATGGTGAGTGCACCACGTGATGATGGTGAGTGCACCACGTGATGACGGTGAGTGCACCACGTGATGATGGTGAGTGCACCACGTGATGATGGTGAGTGCACCACGTGATGATGGTGAGTGCTCCACGTGATGACTGTGAGTGCTCCACGTGATGACGGTGAGTGCTCCACGTGATGATGGTGAGTGCACCACGTGATGATGGTGAGTGCACCACGTGATGATGGTGAGTGCACCACGTGATGATGGTGAGTGCTCCACGTGATGACTGTGAGTGCACCACGTGATGACTGTGCGTGCTCCACGTGATGACGGTGAGTGTCCCACGTGATGACTGTGAGTGCTCCACGTGATGACGGTGAGTGTCCCACGTGATGACTGTGAGTGCTCCACGTTGTGACAGTGAGTGCACCACGTGATGACTGTGAGTGCTCCACGTGCTGACTGTGAGTGCTCCACGTGATGACTGTGAGTGCTCCACGTGATGACGGTGAGTGCTCCACGTGATGACGATGGTGCTCCACGTGCTGACTGTGAGTGCTCCACGTGATGACTGTGAGTGCACCACGTGATGACGGTGAGTGCACCACGTGATGACTGTGAGTGCTCCACGTGCTGACTGTGAGTGCTCCACGTGATGACTGTGAGTGCACCACGTGATGACGGTGAGTGCACCACGTGATGACTGTGAGTGCTCCACGTGATGACTGTGAGTGCACCACGTGATGACGGTGAGTGCACCACGTGATGACTGTGAGTGCTCCACGTGCTGACTGTGAGTGCTCCACGTGATGACTGTGAGTGCACCACGTGATGACTGTGAGTGCTCCACGTGATGACTGTGAGTGCTCCACGTGATGACTGTGAGTGCACCACGTGATGACTGTGAGTGCACCACGTGATGACGGTGAGTGCACCACGTGATGACGGTGAGTGCACCACGTGATGACTGTGAGTGCTCCACGTGATGACGGTGCGTGCTCCGCATTATTCAAAAAGTTTTCTCTAATGGGAGAACCGCGTTATTGCGGAAGCGTCTGTGTGAACACGCGTTAAGTGATGACGTTACCGTACTCTGCTATCGTGCAATCCCAGTCTCCCACCCACATAGAACTCAGTTAAATCCTGGTCATCTGATGAGGTCTGATGAGTTCAGATGTGACTACTCCTAACAGGTGCATGGCACCGATGACACCGCTCTGTCGGCGTTAAGGGGCGCTCCTTCTCTGCGTTTGTGTTTGGGATGGTGACACGGCAGAGCCACTTGTTGTCAAGGTTCACGGTTCAAAACAATTGGCAGCACTGGTTAACGCTGCATGCGTATTGACCACAAATACACGCAGTGTGCTTCAGCTTGGTCGTTCAATGACCCTGTGACGTTATTCAAAAGTGAGTGAGCACGTGTGCCCGGGGTTACGGATAACGTTTGCCAAAATGCTCAAGAATTACTTAATTTGGTGACGTCACACATACAGCAACATCGGCCACTACTGCGGACGATACCCGTCTGGAAAAGCATAGCGCCCGCCTTCGCAAATCGCCTTGCGCTATGTGAATGGCGCGTCTACCAAACGTGACGATGATCGCGTTCGATCTGCTCCGTTAGGTCTCCTGGAGATCTCCACCGTGCAGCGAGGGGTCGTCAGCATTTTCGGCATCAAAAGCGGCCTCTTCCTCGCCATGAGCAGCAGAGGGAGTCTCTATGCTACGGTGAGTGTGAGTGTGGCTCTAGGTGAGTGTGAGCCTGGCTCTAGGTGAGTGTGAGTCTGGCTCTAGGTGAGTGTGAGTCTGGCTCTAGGTGAGTGTGAGCCTGGCTCTAGGTGAGTGTGAGCCTGGCTCTAGGTGACGGTGAGTGTGAGCCTGGCTCTAGGTGACGGTGAGCCTGGCTCTAGGTGAGTGTGAGCCTGGTTCTAGGTGAGTGTGAGTCTGGCTCTAGGTGAGTGTGAGTCTGGCTCTAGGTGAGTGTGAGCCTGGCTCTAGGTGAGTGTGAGTCTGGCTCTAGGTGAGTGTGAGCCTGGCTCTAGGTGACGGTGAGTGTGAGCCTGGCTCTAGGTGACGGTGAGTGTGAGTCTGGTTCTAGGTGAGTGTGAGCCTGGTTCTAGGTGACGGTGAATGTGAGCCTGGCTCTAGGTGAGTGTGAGTCTGGCTCTAGGTGAGTGTGAGTCTGGCTCTAGGTGAGTGTGAGTCTGGCTCTAGGTGAGTGTGAGTCTGGCTCTAGGTGACGGTGAGCCTGGCTCTAGGTGAGTGTGAGCCTGGCTCTAGGTGAGTGTGAGCCTGGTTCTAGGTGACAGTGAGTGTGGCTCTAGGTGAGTGTGAGTCTGGCTCTAGGTGAGTGTGAGTCTGGCTCTAGGTGAGTGTGAGTCTGGCTCTAGGTGAGTGTGAGCCTGGCTCTAGGTGAGTGTGAGTCTGGCTCTAGGTGAGTGTGAGCCTGGCTCTAGGTGAGTGTGAGTCTGGCTCTAGGTGAGTGTGAGTCTGGCTCTAGGTGAGTGTGAGTCTGGCTCTAGGTGAGTGTGAGTCTGGCTCTAGGTGAGTGTGAGTCTGGCTCTAGGTGAGTGTGAGTCTGGCTCTAGGTGAGTGTGAGTCTGGCTCTAGGTGAGTGTGAGTCTGGCTCTAGGTGAGTGTGAGCCTGGCTCTAGGTGAGTGTGAGTCTGGCTCTAGGTGAGTGTGAGCCTGGCTCTAGGTGACGGTGAGTGTGAGCCTGGCTCTAGGTGACGGTGAGTGTGAGTCTGGTTCTAGGTGAGTGTGAGCCTGGTTCTAGGTGACGGTGAATGTGAGCCTGGCTCTAGGTGAGTGTGAGTCTGGCTCTAGGTGAGTGTGAGTCTGGCTCTAGGTGAGTGTGAGTCTGGCTCTAGGTGAGTGTGAGTCTGGCTCTAGGTGACGGTGAGCCTGGCTCTAGGTGAGTGTGAGCCTGGCTCTAGGTGAGTGTGAGCCTGGTTCTAGGTGACAGTGAGTGTGGCTCTAGGTGAGTGTGAGTCTGGCTCTAGGTGAGTGTGAGTCTGGCTCTAGGTGAGTGTGAGTCTGGCTCTAGGTGAGTGTGAGCCTGGCTCTAGGTGAGTGTGAGTCTGGCTCTAGGTGAGTGTGAGCCTGGCTCTAGGTGAGTGTGAGTCTGGCTCTAGGTGAGTGTGAGTCTGGCTCTAGGTGAGTGTGAGTCTGGCTCTAGGTGAGTGTGAGTCTGGCTCTAGGTGAGTGTGAGTCTGGCTCTAGGTGAGTGTGAGTCTGGCTCTAGGTGAGTGTGAGTCTGGCTCTAAGTGAGTGTGAGTCTGGCTCTAGGTGAGTGTGAGTCTGGCTCTAGGTGAGTGTGAGTGTGGTTCTAGGTGAGTGTGAGCCTGGCTCTAGGTGAGTGTGAGTCTGGTTCTAGGTGAGTGTGAGTCTGGCTCTAGGTGAGTGTGAGTCTGGCTCTAGGTGAGTGTGAGTCTGGCTCTAGGTGAGTGTGAGTCTGGCTCTAGGTGAGTGTGAGTCTGGCTCTAGGTGAGTGTGAGCCTGGCTCTAGGTGAGTGTGAGCCTGGCTCTAGGTGAGTGTGAGCCTGGCTCTAGGTGAGTGTGAGTCTGGCTCTAGGTGAGTGTGAGTCTGGCTCTAGGTGAGTGTGAGCCTGGCTCTAGGTGAGTGTGAGTCTGGCTCTAGGTGAGTGTGAGCCTGGCTCTAGGTGAGTGTGAGTGTGGCTCTAGGTGAGTGTGAGTCTGGCTCTAGGTGACGGTGAGTGTGAGCCTGGCTCTAGGTGAGTGTGAGTCTGGCTCTAGGTGAGTGTGAGTCTGGCTCTAGGTGAGTGTGAGTCTGGCTCTAGGTGAGTGTGAGCCTGGCTCTAGGTGAGTGTGAGTCTGGCTCTAGGTGAGTGTGAGCCTGGCTCTAGGTGAGTGTGAGTGTGGCTCTAGGTGAGTGTGAGTCTGGCTCTAGGTGACGGTGAGTGTGAGCCTGGCTCTAGGTGAGTGTGAGTCTGGCTCTAGGTGAGTGTGAGCCTGGCTCTAGGTGAGTGTGAGTCTGGCTCTAGGTGAGTGTGAGCCTGGCTCTAGGTGAGTGTGAGTCTGGCTCTAGGTGAGTGTGAGCCTGGCTCTAGGTGAGTGTGAGCGTGGTTCTAGGTGAGTGTGAGTCTGGCTCTAGGTGAGTGTGAGTCTGGCTCTAGGTGAGTGTGAGCCTGGCTCTAGGTGAGTGTGAGTGTGGCTCTAGGTGAGTGTGAGTCTGGCTCTAGGTGACGGTGAGTGTGAGCCTGGCTCTAGGTGAGTGTGAGTCTGGCTCTAGGTGAGTGTGAGCCTGGCTCTAGGTGAGTGTGAGTCTGGCTCTAGGTGAGTGTGAGCCTGGCTCTAGGTGAGTGTGAGCCTGGCTCTAGGTGAGTGTGAGCCTGGCTCTAGGTGAGTGTGAGCGTGGTTCTAGGTGAGTGTGAGTCTGGCTCTAGGTGAGTGTGAGTCTGGTTCTAGGTGAGTGTGAGCCTGGCTCTAGGTGAGTGTGAGCCTGGCTCTAGGTGAGTGTGAGTCTGGCTCTAGGTGAGTGTGAGTGTGGCTCTAGGTGAGTGTGAGCCTGGCTCTAGGTGAGTGTGAGTCTGGCTCTAGGTGAGTGTGAGTCTGGCTCTAGGTGAGTGTGAGCCTGGCTCTAGGTGAGTGTGAGTCTGGCTCTAGGTGAGTGTGAGTCTGGCTCTAGGTGAGTGTGAGCCTGGCTCTAGGTGAGTGTGAGTCTGGCTCTAGGTGAGTGTGAGTCTGGCTCTAGGTGAGTGTGAGTCTGGCTCTAGGTGAGTGTGAGTCTGGCTCTAGGTGAGTGTGAGCCTGGCTCTAGGTGAGTGTGAGCCTGGCTCTAGGTGAGTGTGAGCCTGGCTCTAGGTGAGTGTGAGCCTGGCTCTAGGTGAGTGTGAGCCTGGCTCTAGGTGAGTGTGAGTCTGGCTCTAGGTGAGTGTGAGTGTGGCTCTAGGTGAGTGTGAGTCTGGCTCTAGGTGAGTGTGAGTGTGGTTCTAGGTGAGTGTGAGTCTGGCTCTAGGTGAGTGTGAGCCTGGTTCTAGGTGAGTGTGAGTCTGGCTCTAGGTGAGTGTGAGCCTGGCTCTAGGTGAGTGTGAGTCTGGCTCTAGGTGAGTGTGAGTCTGGCTCTAGGTGAGTGTGAGTGTGGCTCTAGGTGAGTGTGAGTCTGGCTCTAGGTGAGTGTGAGTGTGGTTCTAGGTGAGTGTGAGTCTGGCTCTAGGTGAGTGTGAGCCTGGCTCTAGGTGAGTGTGAGTCTGGCTCTAGGTGAGTGTGAGCCTGGCTCTAGGTGAGTGTGAGCCTGGCTCTAGGTGAGTGTGAGTCTGGCTCTAGGTGAGTGTGTGCCTGGCTCTAGGTGAGTGTGAGCCTGGCTCTAGGTGAGTGTGAGTCTGGCTCTAGGTGAGTGTGAGTCTGGCTCTAGGTGAGTGTGAGTCTGGTTCTAGGTGAGTGTGAGTCTGGCTCTAGGTGAGTGTGAGTCTGGCTCTAGGTGAGTGTGAGTCTGGCTCTAGGTGAGTGTGAGTCTGGTTCTAGGTGAGTGTGAGTCTGGCTCTAGGTGAGTGTGAGCCTGGCTCTAGGTGAGTGTGAGCCTGGCTCTAGGTGAGTGTGAGCCTGGTTCTAGGTGACAGTGAGTGTGGCTCTAGGTGACGGTGAGTGTGAGCCTGGTTCTAGGTGAGTGTGAGTGTGAGCCTGGTTCTAGGTGAGTGTGAGTGTGAGCGTGGTTCTAGGTGAGTGTGAGCGTGGTTCCATCGCGCCCTTCATCGGTGAGCATCGGACGACGCGGCGATCGAATCGATTAAAATCGATCGTCAGAGCTGCCCGGGTGCTTCAAAGTTCAGAGCGCTGATTTGGCTCCACCACAGGTTCTAAAGCCACTCAGCTGCCCATTGTTGTCTTTCCCCGTACCTCTGATTACTACGGTTGGCTACGTACGGTGCGAATGAAGTTCAACATACGTACATTAAACCCGCTTCTCAAGTGTGGCGAGTTTATGTTGACTCGCATAGAGAAGCGTCGACTGACATAGAGTCAAATATATTCACATAGAGACCCATAGAATGACATTGAATCATGTCGCGACCCAAAACAATTACAATTCCGTAGAATGTCTGCCGTGGGTGGGGTGAATAGTGACGTTTCTATTCGTCAAATTTTCTATTTATTTTATGGGCAGTGTGAGAAAGAAGGCAGTTTCATTTTTGAGTTTGGTGGAAATTTCCGGATGTTGGTCGAGGTTTAGTCAAAGTGCCTCCCCACACACAGAGACCACGGGGAAGAGGCTCATCTTTCCTGGCAGCTAAACCAGGGGTGGACATTCCACATTCCTTTGGTCAGAATCAGTGCATCATAGGACAACCACAAAGCGCTACTCGTAATCCATTAACGTCTCGTGATATATTACTCAGCATTGAAGCCTTGCACTGCAGCGAAGCCATTTACATCATGCCACCGAGGATGCTCATTCTCACCGAGCACAACATCCATCGCCGAGCATTGCTACACGTGGGATAGAAGTCGAGTGCCTGGAGAAAACCCCACACACACGAGGGGGTAACGTTCAAAACAACCCACGCAGGTAACGTAACAGGTCAGCCTCACGACCGGAAGGTTGAGTTTTCTCATTCTGGTTGATATTTTGTAACAACTCATCATCGCTCTAAATCAAAGGCAAGCCACAGTAGTGCCACGGTGGCCATGGAACGCAAACTGCGTACCGTGTGTGGTTTGCACTCCGACACGAACTCTCCCCTGGAGCCCTCTCGTGGCTAGCAGACCTTGACATTGACATGTAGCGCCTGAACACGTTTTGCTATACGCAAGAATCGAATCACCCCGCAGTGGATACGATGAGCAACATATTTTGTCGACGTGGGAATGGAAACAGTTGTCTTGCGGATCTACTGCTCCCCGTCATTGGAGAACAGAATGCCTGTCACTGGCTCAGGGCCACGGATGGAGATGAACAGGGAGCCTCTTCGTTAAAGTCACGTAGGTATAAAATAAATCACGACGTTTCGGGCGCAACACAAGCGTCCGTCATCAGGTGGGAAAGCATGGTCTGCTGCTGAGGCAGACTTTTAAGAGGTTTATTTTATTTTATACCTACGTGACTTTACCGAAAGAACCAAAGAGTATGGATTCCTGCAGTCACGAAAGCTTCAAATCAAGATTGGGCCTCTTCGAGTCGATGATTTGAGACACATTTCTACGAGAATTAGAACACAATACCGCATCAATGACATCTGCTCGGTGAACCACTCTACGCTTGCCACCTGCGTGATCATGGTGCCACTATGGAGCATAGATGATAGGACAATAGTCTGAGTTCATAATTGCCAATAAGTAACGGCAAAGCAGTTATAAGTGACTCAGAATTGTGCGCAGTTGCGTATACAGTGCACGACTTCCCTGAAGGCTTCAGCGAGCACATTAAGGTCCTGGAGTGGCCTAGCCAGTCTCCAGACCTTAATCGCATTGAAAATCTGTGGAGGGAGCTGAAGGTTCGAGTTGCCAAACGTCAGCCTCGAAACCTTAATGATTTGGAGAAGATCTGCAAAGAGGAGTGGGACAAAATCCCTCCTGAGATGTGTGCAAACCTTACAAGAAACGTCTGACCTCTGTGATTGGCAACAAGGGTTTTGCCACCAAGTACTAAGTCATGTTTTGCAGAGGGGTCAAATACTTATTTCCCTCATTAAAATGCAAATCAATTTATAACATTTTTGACATGCGTTTTTCCGGATTTTTTGTTGTTATTCTGTCTCTCACTGTTCAAATAAACCTACCATTATAATTATAGACTGATAATTTATTTGTCAGTGGGCAAACGTACAAAATCAGCAGGGGATCAAATACTTTTTTTCCCTCACTGTACGTGACTTTATCGAAAGATCCAAAGAATATGAATTCCCGCAGACACGAAAGCTTTAAGTCAAGATGTAATATTTTTATATTAACAATTTTTTATATGAATTGTAAACTACTGAAAATAAATTAATAAATGTGCCCAGTTTTGGGAGGGGGAGGCGTTGCCCCCCCCCCCCCGTGTCGCCCCCCCTCACCCAAACTCCACCTACGACCCTACCTACCTACTTGCTGTGCTGACACAAGGACGGCCACCACCACCGCCACCCCCACCGCCACCACCACCACCACCGCCACCACCACCGCCACCACCACCTAACATCGCCCCCTTCCCCTTCTTCTCTCTCCCCCACCGCCACCACCACCCTCACCGCCACCACCACCACCACCACCACCACCACCCCCACCACCACCACCACCACCGCCACCACCACCACCTAACATCGCCCCCCTCCCCTTCTTCCCTCTCTCCCCCACCGCCACCACCGCCACCGCCACCACCACCACCACCGCCACCACCACCACCTAACATCGCCCCCCTCCCCTTCTTCCCTCTCTCCCCCCCCGCCACCACCGCCACCGCCACCACCACCACCACCGCCACCACCGCCACCACCGCCACCACCACCACCTAACATCGCCCCCCTCCCCTTCTCTCTCCCCCACACGCAACCACCACCAAACCCCCCTCCTCCTCCTCCTGTCTCTCTCTCTCTCAGCCGTACTTTACGGACGAGTGCAAGTTCGGCGAGACGCTGCTGCCCAACAACTACAACGCGTACGAGTCGAGCGCGCACGCCGGCACATTCGTGGCGCTCGGCAAGCGTGGCCGCGTGAGGAACGGCGGGCGCGTCACCCCCCGCATGACCGCCACGCACTTTCTGCCCAGGCTGTGAGCGAAGCGGAAGGTTCGCGATCTAAAACCCCCACACCCCCTCGCCCCCCCCCCACACCCCCAAAAAAAACCTCAATTATGGATAATATTGTTCGCGACAACCCATGCGTTAAACTGAACCAGAAAGCCCTTTGCACCAGTGGGGTTCCACTCACTGGTGCAGTTGTTCCACTCACTGGTGCAGTTGTTCCACTCACTGGTGCAGTTGTTCCACTCACTCGTGCAGTTATTCCACTCACCGGTGCAGTTGTTCCACTCACTTGTGCAGTTATTCCACTCACTAGTGCAGTTGTTCCACTCACTTGTGTAGTTGTTCCACTCACTGGTGCAGTTGTTCCACTCACTGGTGCAGTTGTTCCACTCACTCGTGCAGTTGTTCTTCACTCGTGCAGTTATTCCACTCACTGGTGCAGTTGTTCCACTCACTGGTGCAGTTGTTCCACTCACTGGTGCAGTTGTTCCACTCACTAGTGCAGTTGTTTCACTCACTCGTGCAGTTGTTCCACTCACTGGTGCAGTTGTTCAACTCACTGGTGCAGTTGTTCCACTCACTGGTGCAGTTGTTTTACTCACTGGTGCAGTTGTTCCACTCACTCGTGCAGTTGTTCCACTCACTCGTGCAGTTGTTCTTCACTCGTGCAGTTATTCCACTCACTTGTGCAGTTGTTCCACTCACTGGTGCAGTTGTTCCACTCACTTGTGCAGTTGTTCCACTCACTCGTGCAGTTGTTCTTCACTCGTGTAGTTGTTCCACTCACTTGTGCAGTTGTTCTTCACTCGTGCAGTTGTTCCACTCACTCGTGAAGTTGTTCTTCTCACTCGTGCAGTTGTTTCACTCACTTGTGCAGTTGTTCCACTCACTGGTGCAGTTGTTCCACTCACTAGTGCAGTTGTTCCACTCACTGGTGCAATTGTTCCACTCACTTGTGCAGTTGTTCCACTCACTTGTGCAGTTGTTCTTCACTCGTGCAGTTGTTCCACTCACTCGTGAAGTTGTTCTTCTCACTCGTGCAGTTGTTCCACTCACCGGTGCAGTTGTTCCACTCACTTGTGCAGTTGTTCTTCACTTGTGCAGTTGTTCCACTCTCTGGTACAGTTGTTCTTCACTTTGTGCAGTTGTTCCACTCACTGGTGAAGTTGTTCTTCACTCGTGCAGTTGTTCCACTCACTGGTGCAGTTGTTCTTCACTTTGTGCAGTTGTTCCACTCACTGGTGAAGTTGTTCTTCACTCGTGCAGTTGTTCCACTCACTGGTGCAGTTGTTCGGCGTGTGCGGTGCCGCCACAACATTTGAAAGCATTGCGGGGTTTGACAGCAGCACGACGACGACGACAACGACGGGGTTGAGTTGTCACTCTTGGTGCCTATTGTCGGGGGGGGGGGGGGCGGGGGAGGTACCGCGCGTCACCAGGGGCCGCCAGTGGCACCGCCGGGGCCTTGCAATGAAGAACACCACGCTGGTGGATAAGGGGGGGGTGAGGGGGGGTGGGGTAAGGGGGGGGGGTGAGGGGGGTGGGGGGCACTCGAGCATATGGGGGGGGGGGAAAGTTCAAACTTGAGAAGTAAGAAACAATGAAGAGCTTGGGATTTTTTTTTAATTCGAGACTTTGGACATTTAACAAATTTCTGGGTTTGGATTAAAACAAAAAATTAAAACTTTCTAACGTGACGGTTTGGGAGTGTTTGAAGCTTGAGAGGTGTGGATTGGTTTTCTTTTTCAATTTGAATAATTGGAAATGTTTTAAATTGAGAGTTTGGGAGAGAAAAACGCCTATTATTTGAGAATATTGGAGTTTTTTTTTGTTTAAAACGAGAGACATTTCAAACCTTTCAAATGTCACGAGGACGCAGGCATGTTTCAAACGTGAGGGTCTGGGGAATGTTTTACCAACTTGATTGTTGGGGAGTTCTTCAGACCTAAGGTCATTTGGAATGTTTCGCTTACGCGAGGGTTTGAGCCTGTTTCTTACTTGCAGTGGTCCCTGTCCTCAACGCTGGCGCGTGCATGACACGGCTGACTGCATGCAGTGTCTGTTCGACACCCACGGTGCAAGGAGTGCGACGTCACGCGTAAGCATTGTGCTGGGTGGCTTCTGGAAACTGACATCAGTCGAGGTTTTCAAAGGTGACATCGTACAATTTTCCTGCGGCTTTCAAAGTTGTGCTTTGCAATCTCGCCACTGCTGCCGCCCTCCAAATGACCGTGAGCTGCCGACACAAATTGTATTGTCAAAAATGACGGTCAAGTGTAACCAACCGGTGCAGGGCTTGGCCCCGATAACCTTAGTGCAGACTGAATACGGAACGAACTGGACCTTACCGGAAATCCACCTTCCGTAGTCTCATTACATTTGCGCACAATTTGAAAATGTGACCCCCCCGCTGTTTCGGATATCATGCGGGGAGAGCGCTCGTTCCAAGCTGTGTTACTACGAACATTACGTTTGAAGTTGTGTTTCCCGCAAACATTACAAATCCGTTCGTCGCTCACTCGTTTGGAGGAAGCGGTCACGTGCAAGCGTCTAAATCGTCACACTGTGCTACTTTGAAGACGACCACAACAACAACGACGACGACAACAAGAAGGCGAGAGAATAAGTTACGTTGCTTCTAAAATCTCAAGTAGTCGGTAATCAGAGATGGATTACTTTTGAAAGGTCACCCTCCCACTTCCCCCCCACCCCTCTCGTGTCAGTTCCCCCTCCCTCGCGTTGTTAACGAAGTATTTCTACTTTCACCACTTGGAGGGCTTCAGGAGCCCACCTCGAAAGCACTTTACGTATTTGTATCGAAGGCAAGTAAGCATCATGCACCCGTGTGCATTTACTCCACGTGCGTGGCGCGGTGGCACGGGTAACCGACAGATGCAAATATTTTAAAATATTACCGTCGCAAAATGTTATTTAAGCAACGTACACTGCATAGACTGCATTTTATTATCATCAAATTAACAAACTTGATTTGAAGCTTTCGTGACTGCAGGAATTACTCTTTGGTTCTTTCGGTAAAGCCACGTAGAAAGAAAATAAAATAAATAACAGAATACGACGTTTCGATTAGAACACAAGCAACCGTCATCAGGTGTGAATGAATGCAAGCTCGGAGACACACACACATACGGATACATTTCCTTTCTACGTGACTTTACCGAAATAACCAAAGAGTAATCAAATTAACAATCGGAGAGTCAGTGCAGAACACCTGCAGTACGCCCTAGAGAGGCGAAAGTCCTCGTTCTGTGGTCGCAGTTTGAGGTGGACGCTTGTTTTTGTTCTTGAACTCAGATTGAGTGAAACCTCTGGAAGCCAGACAGCCGTTGCAGCGACGGCTACGCACGAGGCCTATGGATCCCGCATTGTAGAGGCAGGATTGGTGGATCACCACAACGGGGTTGCAAACTCCCTTCCCGTGGGCGTCGAGGTGACGCCAACAATTGGGCTCGCCACCAGGATGCGGTCGAGCAAAGTGCGGAATTCACATCGTCTTCTGTATGGGATAAAGTGTTGCCCCCTCGCACGCGCGGGTTTTGTCCGGGTCCTGCGGTTTCCTGCCACGTGATATAAACACTCAATAATTGGCTAAAACATCTTCATATATCGAGGACTGCTCGCCGACTGACTGCCGCCTTCCAGCTCGTCTGTGACTCCTCGGAGACTGGGCGAGATGCAATAAATGACGCAATATTAAACATAAACGTCAGCGCAGGATTATTAATTGGGAGATCAGACGTTCTGGTGATAGGGCGGGGGGGGGGGGGGGATATCTGGCACAGGGCAAATAATTAAGCACTCAATTACGACATTTTCTAAAAAATGAAATTAACACCTCGTGTCTAAATTAACACTTCAATTGCATTAACGCTTACTTTGTATTCATGTACAAACATTCTGAGCATAAGGTCACGCCACCACCAGCAGACCACGTGGTATACCGACGATGCAGCACTTGGGCGCTGTGGTATCAATGAACGCGGACTGCGACGAAATCACCGATCTTTGCTGATATTAGCCAATCAAATGCAAGCGGTGCGTGTCACATCATTGCTCGATCCCACGGATAGATTGGCAATTTAATCGACGCAGCGATGAACCCGCAAATTTCGATTAACCCCCGGTAATTTAGATGTTTGTTTATTATGACGATCCACAATGACTATATATGGGGGGTGGGGGAGGGGGGACAAGTCTCTGATCGGTGATTGTGTCGGGTGTACGATTTTATCGCTCTGTTAACGGCACCGCAGATCGACGCTGTACCTCCGCAAGCACGGGAACTGTGTTCCTGCTGGAGTTTGTTTGTTGTTGTAAAGTATAGATATTGTATTTTATACAGGTGTAGTAGTCGTGTATGGAGACGGAGTCGGAGTAGGAAGCAACACGTTTTATTTATATCTTTAACAACACTCACTAGGACTTAGCATGAAGGGATAATGGCCCCTTCCACCCACAACCTGTGGAGGTACAGCCTCCGGGCTATCTATCCTAGCCACTGACCTACTCCTACAGCCCTCCGGCTGGCTGGAGCTAAGGAGGCTGACCCACCCCTGGCACCGGTGGGTCTCTGACCCCTGGCCCGTCCAGACCCGGCCCTCAGAAGGACGTCGGGCTGAGGGAACCTTAGGGTCCTAGCCTCTCGACCTCTGGCACCGCACTGAGCCCCGGCCCTTAGAAGGACGTTGGGGCTTGGGGTCCAGGGTCTCGTCTCCAGGTGGCTCCTCGACTTCGGCTTGAGGCGAACTGAGCTCTGCTCTCAGGAGCCCGCCTTTTATACGATTGCCCACCGAGGGGCGGGGTTCTGAGGGATCACAGATCCCCCACAGCCCCCTCCCCCCCAGGAGGGGTTCTGGTCGCAGGCAGTCCAACCGATCTGTGTTCGTTTATCCCGCTTTCTGCCTAGGGGCAGGGTTCTGGGGAATCACACACACACACTCACACACACACTCCACAGCCTCCACCCCTCAGGCGGGGTCTTGGTCAGGGTTATCAATGACCCCGCACATCGGCAGCGCTTTTTTGGCAAACCACCCAATTCTCTGTTCCTCCTCCGCGTTGTGGCTCTGAGAGGCGTCACCGGCAGAGAGACGCTCACGTTGTCCTGAGCAGACGACGGGCGCCTCCAACTGCAGCAGGGAAACAGACTGCGTTCAGAATTCGACGATTGGCTCGCCACGGACCCACGCCTCCTAATAAGGGTTTGCGTGTCGACCACACAGCTCAGTTTCCAATCGCACCCAAGAACCAGCACATTCCAGAAGAGGGGTCCTCAGACGAACACCAAAAAAGGTTAAACAAATTAAATGT